TAGTACTGTAAATGACTTGGCCGAACAAACAAAGAATATTCACAGGGCAGTGTCTGAAACAAGGAAGTCAGCAAGCTACTTAGACTTTCAAGACAAACCTAAGGAAGGAAAGGGCTGTTGTGATTTTGTCACTCAGCTTGAGTTAAAAAGACCCATCAAACTTGACAAATGTGCAAGGCTGCAGATAAACACTAGATATCTGGTTATGGAGCCAGAGGTGGGGAGTGTGATTCTCCATTGTGCCTCCTGCCCATACAGCCAGTCTGTGGCCTTGGGCAAGTTGCACAGTCCCACTGTGTCCCCAGAAGAACAGAATGGTAAACCATTTCTGAGTATCCTCTAGCTAGAAAACCCAGAAAAGGGTTGCCATAAGTCAGAATTGACTTGATGGCACACATTATTATACCTCCTTGTTTCGTCTCCATCTCTTCTTATTCAGAGTGTCTGCATGTGTCCGATACAGAGAATCACCGTTACATAAGAGTTGCCACCTGGATTCATCATTCAAAACATGGGATCATACAAATATAAAAACTGATTTTGAAACCTTGCTAAACACAATATCGATGTATTGATTTTCCATGCATCTAAAAAGATCAGATGATTCTATTTTTTAAAATTTATAATTACGCACACTATAATCCCACCAAAAATAGCACGTAAGGTGGTTAACAGACATCACTAAAGTAATATAAACAGGAAACACAATTTAAACTGTAATAACAATAAACCTTGTCACCATAATTCTATAAGAATTATTTTAATACCTATCCCATTTTATGGAATAGGCACAGCTACCTACCGGATTTTTCGCTCTATAAGACGCACCTCCCCCCCAAAAAGTGGGGGAGAAGTGTCTGTGTCTTATGGAGTGAATACTGTAAAACAGTGCTTGCCGGGGCCCAGTGGAGGGATGGGGGGGAGCCTCCAAAGGGTCCGAGAGTGCCTTCCAGGAACATTCGGAGGCTACCCCCACCCCCCGTGGGGCAAAATCGCCAACTTCCAGGACCCTTCTGAAGCGTCCTGGAAGCTGGCGATTTAACCCCTGCTGGCATCGCGGGGGGCAGGGGGAGCCTCGGAAGGGTCTGAGAGTGCCTTCCAGGACCCTTCTGAGGCTTGGAAAGTCCTGGAAGCTGGCGATTTTTGCCCCTGCTGGCCCTGGGGGTGGGTTGGAGGGAGCCTCCAAAGGGTCCTGGAAGGCACACTCAGACCCTTCTGAGGCTCCCCCCACCTCCATCCCTGCAGGCCCAGTGGGCCGAAATTGCCAGAATATTTTTCCTGTTTTCCTCCCCTAAAAATGAGGTGCACCTTATGGAGAGGTGCGTCTTATGGAGCGAAAAATACGGTAACTCTAAAGTCAAAACTACGCAACTGACACAGAGTAGGTAAATGTAAAATTTAGATTTTTCCTCAGAAGCTGGTAGAAAATATTTTGACACATCCATTGTCTGTAATTATCGTTATCATGGTTATTCCCCCTCTCCTTTAAGGATTTGTTTATATACATCTGGAAGCCTGTCTCCTCACATGCCACAAATCAAAAGAATAAGCTATTTGGTATGAGCACCTGAATTAACCCATAGTATATTATTCAATGCATAAAAAAATGCATATCTTCCCAAGGATCACCTTTACCCTCACAGATGATATGGCAAAGAGTAAAATCCTCTTGCATTAAGTTACATAGTGCAAGCCAGATAAGGTCTTCATCCAGCACCAGAAACATTTCATTTAAACAGATTGAAAGTTTCCTATCAACCACTTTCCGGTTCTGAGGTTCCCTACGCCTAGGGCTCTTTTTCCCTGGGGAAGCCTCTAGGAACCTTGAGACAGGGTAGCCTTTAATAGTAAAGACATCTTTGCCAGATCCAAATCCCCCACAAGCAATCTGTCAGCATTTTTTTCCTATTAAAGACTTCATATCATCCTAAGGCTCCAAAATCTTTCCTAGGGAAAAAGGGAGCTCTAGGGAGCTTCAGAGCATAGGAACGTTGTACTGTAGTTAGTTTGGATTCAATACTGCTGGCTGATAAGGATGCCATTCTGTTTGCACCATGTAATGTTATCTATTTATGCAAGAGGATATTGGTTAGGATTGCTGTTAGGATGCCTCTCCCAACTCAGTGGCCTCAAGAGGTGATGACTATCGTGCCCATCATTCCAAGATATCATGCTTATGCTAGCTAGGGATTATGGATATTGTATTCCAACACTGCTGGAAGGCCCCACGTAAGGAAAAATGCTGTAGTGCCTTGAGCAAGGGAGACTGTTTCAAGATTCTCTTAAGATATCACATGAATCTTGAGCATCTCAGTGCAGAGCTGGATACTTCATCATCTTCTATATGTAGCTTCCAACACCTCTTATCCATGGTGTGCTACCTATGAATGATGAGAAACTGAGGCCAACAACATCTAGGAGACTGCAACGTGCCCACATATGCATGTTGGTATAAGGACATTCTATCCTTTCAGAGCGCATTTTTAAAATTTATTTATTATATTGCCCAATTTGTGCTGAGTACTAGTCTGGACAGTTTACATCCAAAGTAAAAACAATATAAAGAAATATAACAAGGAAACTACTACTCACAAACAAACTAATACTAAAATAAATCAACAATTAAACCAAACCTCAACTCAGTAAAGGGCTGCCAGAGAATCCAATCCAGTAAAGGAAATTATATCTCCAATCAGTAAAAGAAAGCTTCCCTCTGGTCATCCCAGTAAAGGGTCTGCCACTCAGCTTCATCCAGAAAGACAAAGTGCCATCCTGAACCAATTCAAGAAAGCTTCTTCTGGACATCCCAGTAAAGGAGCTGCCAGTGAATCCCACCCAGTAAAAGGAAACAGTCCTGGCTGCTCAAGTAAAGATTGTCTCAATAATCCCACACAGTAAAAAGCAAACGTCATCATAAATCAGTGAAAGGAAGTGTCCTTCGCCATCCCAGCAAAGGGGCTACCAGTGAATCCTGCCCAGCAAAAGGAAATGATATACTGTACTGAAAAAGAGTAAAAGAAAGCTTCCCTCTAAATCTAATCCTAAAGTCCCCTCCTGCTCAACAGCGTTCCAAAGACAACATTACTGTACCTAAGAAGTGCTGTCATGAATTTCACAAACAGTCCTAGTCCTATGTGCGACTCCCCTAGCACAAGACACCACCCACTTACAATTACTTTTGAAAACTATGTTTGCAGTTATTGTTGGGATCTACAACACCACAAAACAATATTTCTCCTGCTGCCTCCTGCCCAGCAACAGCTATCCAACCAGGCCTCAACTATTTCCAAAAGTGAATTTATGAAACAAGAACTGAAAGCCAACCATCTAAAAAACCCTTGGTTTTAATGCATCAAGTCTAGCTGCTGTTTGTTAATGGTAAGGAGACTTAACCCGCATGCAGGTGTTATCAGAGGTAGGCTACCGCCGATCAGCTGTTAAAAAATCATCGCTTTGCGATGATCGGTAAGTGAAACAGGGAACTGATCATCGGAAAGCGAAAAAAAAACCATTTAAAACATCACAATGGGATCACTTTTACAATTGCAAAATCTTTGTCGCTATGCCGTTTTGTCGCTAAACGGAGCGTCCATTAAGCGAGGCACCACTGTACTTTTATTTTGAAAAAGAAAGCACAGAAACATAGCAAGTTCAGAAAGACTAGGAACAATGGCAACAACTCATCCAGTCCTTCAAATTCTTAAAGCAGCAACTATTTTAATTTTAAGAAATGCACATAAATTCAGAAACTGTGCAGCTCTGCACAAAAAAGGCACTTTTACACAGATATCAGCAATTCTGCATGAAGACCTTTCTTCTAATACGCAAACTCTATTGAAAATGCCAGGAAATTCCTTGTCTAAGATGAATGTCACAACTGCTCATCCTCGCCGGAAAATACTGTACAGTATAAGATATGGTTTGCATCTCTTAATATAGGGCTGTCACAAATCGTGATTTATTTTTACATATGAACGAGCTATTTTCTTTATCTCATCCTGTACAGCAGGTCTTATGGGAGACAATCTTTGTTACCTCCCGTCTACATCTCCTTCTCCAGGATGCATGTGTGCTACAAAATGAGCTAAATCTAACCCAGGGCAGGAAAACTGTCTTGTAGGAAATACTTTAAATTATTAGCGGGAAAGGGCATGCTACATGTACTACAGTGTAAACAGAAAATCTGTGCAAACACAGAATATGCATGCAGCAGGGAGGGTAAACTAAAAACTCTGATTTTCTCACTAGCATAGACTGAAAAAACTTGCGTGAAGCTTTTTTTAAGAAAGAAACCGATAAAGCATTCACGAAGTATGCACACTTCTCATGCAACATCTGGGAGACAAAACTCTTTTACCACCACGTTCTTATACTAAACTTGGGAGCCTCCCTGTGTTCCAAGGAATGAAAGGGCAAACTGAGCTAGAGTTCTGACCTGGATCATTTCAGAAAGCAAGTGATGGGTATTTTTAAACAGTGACCCACCTTATTAAATATACTTCTTCATTTCATAAACTAGTGCATCTGTGTTAAGCATTTCTTCCTAACACGGTACTTTTTTTGTTTTTTGTATGAAGGGGCTTAGGCTGTGTGGATTTTTTTTTAAATTACTGAGCATTTAATGGTAAGCTTCAACGGCTTGCCATCATCTCAGCTTTCCCTAACAGCTCGTGTGCCAGGACTTAAGCCTTGCATGGCCTCCATGTGCACTTCCTGAGAGAGAAATGCCTCTCTACTGTACATCATGACTTAAGTATACACTAAATATATTTACAGTACTTAGTCTCTACCTTTCTATCTGGAAAGATCAAAACAAAACACAAAAAAATTGACCACCAAAAATCTTGGTTCCCCTTTCCTACAGCCTGAAGTGGCCCCACCACCTCCTCTCTCTTATCAGTCTCCCTCAACATCAGAGTCTGGAGCAGGAGTTCCTCGTGTCGAACTTTTAAATGAATTCTTCTTACAAGGAGAAGGCGCCGACAGTCGCTGTTACATACCTGCTCTGCTAGCTTTCTGCTTGAAGGCAGCAAGGACCCCTCCGCGCCCGCTTTCCTTATCGTGAAATGGTACCGTCCAGAAATTTGTTTCCCCCACACACACACGCACTCCCCTCAGAGGACCCGGCCTCCTCCTCCTCCTCCTCCTCCTCCAGCCTTCCTCTCCCAAGGCCTTGTTCCGCAAGGCAGAGGAGAGGATGCCGCGCGCTCCTTCCCTCACGTGCCCTCTTTCCGGTTCCCCTCACGGCCCGGCCGCTCTTCCCTCGCCCGCCCCCCACCCCGCACCTTTCGTCCT